AGACGATATTTCTGATAACCGATGTGCATTTTGTACGATATTGCAGACATTGGTCTTGTTTTCGTTGAAATAAAAGTGGGTTTTTTATTTTATTTTTTATTTTGCACATAAATTTGCAATGACATTGTCAAATCTCACAATGTCCAGCGTTATTTCAGCAGTCGTCATGTTTATTTATATTGGATAATGTAGTTCCGGTCAGTGTTGTATTAATACGCTAAGAATTGTGTCTCGTGATGCATGGTTATTAAAGTCCAATCAACGACACAGCTTTTTCAAAGAGGCTATATAGTGACAATGCCATGCAAATGTAAATATATCGGATACATGACACCTCGAGAAGAAAGTGGCTGAATGATTGATTTATACGTGATATATATAGAGGATCTGACACGATTGTTCATGTTATATTGAATTTATTGAACGAGTTTATTAATTTCATATGAAATTATTTAACGAGTTTGATAAATTCAATATTACATGAACACGAGTCTTAGATTTTATTTATTATATAATTCGAGAAAAACTATTTTTCTTGACACGTCTCCTCTATATACGTTGTACCGATGGCTGACGAAAGGACGCATTACATGCATTTTGTTTGGAGCTCGCTGCGCCACAAAAAATAGTTTCAGAAACTTTTTCCCGAGAACCTTTTAAATGAAGAAACAATCATTTAGGTTTTCACCATCAATCAATGTTTTAATAATTATCATAACAACATTAATACTCATTTTTGATGCGAAAACCATTCAACGAATTGGCTTATTTGGCACAACGGCGCGTGCACAGTCAAGGTAAAGGTCATCACAATACACATCGAAATCTGCACTTTTTAAAGGTTTACAGGGACTGGAGTGATTATCCCTCTCTATAACACAAGAACATTTCTTAGGAAAGGATTGTTGCTGAATGTGAACCTCGATGTTTCCGCCTGTCACTGAGCCAGAAAATATACTGTGGAATCCGCCATGAAACTGGAACACGGATTAAGTTGACCGGTTACAAGTGTTGGCCATTGATTGTGTGTATGTCGGAGAAGTTCAAGTGGAATTTGAACATGCAGGTGTTGAATTTGTGTGAAGCTTACACTCGTGTTTATATACTATTGAATTTATTAAACTCGTTTGTTAATTTCATTCTCCCAGGGCCCCTGCCTCTGCTATCAATGCAAACAGTAACTCGCTCAGCCATTTTGTTTACAAACTAAGAAGTTGTAGTGCGTAGGAATATCACCTGTTTCCCAAGGTGACAAGACTCATTTGCATGTTTATTGTGCGTGTGCTATATCGTTTTTATTGAACGGCAATATTGCACGGAAATAGCCTGTATTATATAATTGATATAGATACAATATAACTGGGAAGCTTGATGATCTTTTGTAGATGTGACACCATGAGAGGTAGGTTACCGGATGATCTTTTTATAGACATGACATCAAGCGAAGTTAGTAACTGGATGATATATATTTATAGACGTGACACGATGAGAATTGGGTAAATGGGTGACCTATTTATAGTCATGACACGATGGGAAGTAGGTAACATGATGATCTATATATAGACGTGACACGATGAGAAGTAGTTAACTTGGTGATCTATTTATAAACGTGGCACGTTGGGAAGTGGGTAACTTGGTGATCTATTTATAGACATGAGACGATGAGAAGTACATGTAGGTTACCGGATGTATTATTTATAGAAGTGACACGTCATTGCTACCAACCTAGCGACGGACCACCTGTACTTGTCTCGCGCGGATGAGATCCGAAATACCAACATATTGATCGTTAGTCTTCCAGGATATTCCGTTTCCTGATCAGGACGCCAATTACTGCACTGTTACGGTATCACGTGCTTGTCACAAGTTTCGATTGTAACCGCGTACGAAAGAAGTGGTGTCACATCTGACTATGCCAGTGACAGAAAGAGAGAAAAAATCAATTACGAATTCCTTTAATTCCTTTCCCCGGAAACAGTGGAGTCTAGTAACATATGATCGAAGTATAAAGGCACCCGAACTGTAAACCAATATGATTCCTTCTCTAGAAATCAAGTATCCAACTGAACAGATCGGCAACGCCCACCCCATCACCCTTGCTGTCGAATTAACCAGGATTATATTTCCTTTTCCCCTTTGTATCGGATGCGGTTTACATTATGACTACACTGACAAACACAAGTATAACCTATTTCGCGTATATACTAGCAGACTGTTTTAGCATAAGAAAGACTGAATCGTTATCGCCGAAGATCGATCTAGGAATAGTTTTACCACGATGAGATGTAAGATTCTGAGCACATCCATCATAGGAGTGCCGCATTTCACTGTAGCGGTGAAGCAAGCGAACCAACCTTGGAGTTCTGCAGATATGTTTGTGAAGATGCTCTGAAAGATTTCCTTCTTTCTGTGGCAAGGTAAATGAACTGATATCTACGGTATTGATGGGGCAAGGCATTGTAATGAATTATGGATGCCATGATTTTTAAACCTACCAGCTAAATTATTGACGAGTCGATTTTAATGAATAATGTATGATAAAAAAGTGTATTGCGAATGATGTTTGTACTCATAGAAACTGAAGTACTATCCACCAACCAATTATTTATTACCAGAGAAGCAATTAAATATCGGATATCACTCGTTTCTCTACCAACCCGTTTATTTTAATAGAAACGGATATATCGACAGAGTTCAAATTTTTGTTGTTCTCATTAAAGTAATGTCAACTTGCTATACTCTCGGGAATCGTAAGATCAATCTTAAGTGTCTCGTTAGGAACACAGTGCTGATACTACTAACAGTGAATGCTTATTTATATACTCGATATCAAGTTTGATGATAGAACCGACCTCACCTGTGTGTATAGATTTATTTTCGTTTATAGGCTGTAGTGTCCCATTAACAGCCAAAGACATTTGATTGCCTCGATGTGTTGTATGTATGTGTCCGTGTGTGTATGTCTGCGGGAGGCGATACGCTAGTTCAGTTCTCTTCTTGTGATAGCGGGGAATTGAGGCCGACTTTAGAGTGTGTTTTCTTTATAAGGAAAAATCATACTGAAGGCACCCAGACCAGTATCCTCCAGGTCACAGTATACTGATAGCAAATAAACGGTCGTAGCGCCTAACCCACATGTTGATAGTTTAGCAGGGAAACACTTGCCATGTTAAGGACTTCGGTATGTCCCAGCCTGGGGACAGAATCAATTGCCGTTCTCGCATAGGCATACGTTGTGTATTACAATACCAGTTCACCATTGCTATGTATCAGATATCAGTCGTCATTTATCAAATGTCAATGTACCAATCGTCAATAACCGCAAAATAAGGTATTAGTCGTTAATTTCCAAATGTCATAGTACCATGCCATTTGTCGGTTACCTAGAATCAAAGTATCAGTCGTAAATTATCAAGTGACAGTTTTAAATCACAATGTGCCAAAATAACAGTCGCCAATTACCACAATAAAAGTACAAGTTGTCAATTACCACGTATCAAAATACCATTTGTCAATTACCATTGTCAAAAGCACCAATCGCAATTATCATAATCATAATAGCAATTGTCAAATACTACGTATGAAAGTACCAATTGTCAGTTACAAAGGTCAAAGTGCCACTTATACAAACTAGTGTGCAGTACCGGTATTATTTATTTGTATTCGAGCGAAAAAAACAATACATTTTTTTGTACGTTTGTATTTTATGTGATAGGAGAAAAATAATGCAACAATTGCTTTTTAGAAACCAATACAAAGATATGAAAACAGTTACCTTTTTTTACAAGAAGGAAAATAATATGTTTGCCGTTCGCTATTGGATATGGAAATAAAATCGTTATTCACAACAGTGTGTCCTTCATACTCAAACCCGTATTTTCACTCTTCCTACTGGTTTCTATGTAAGAGAAACTAAGATAGTTCTGTCATACAACAACAGTAGAGCAATGGTCTAGCTTGTACACAAGGGGACTGACCAGAAATAACTACTAGCATCTACTAAGTGCTAGTCGTAAACAACATTATACACGAAAACAAATCTTGGTACATTTTCCTTAAATAAAAACTAAATTAAAAGCATAGTGCGAGAACCCTATATATTATACTTTTCATTCCGTTGTCTATAAAGACACACTTTTGCTGTATTGCGTTAACCCTTTTGTCAGCCTGTAATAATTGATATATTGACTGGAATGTACCTGTGGGTCCTTTGGGGAAAACTAGTGTTAAATATATCATGTACATTCAAATGTACAACAAAACTCGACAGCTATTAAAATGCAATTAATAATTAATAAACAATTTCAAGGAAACAAATTGCCCAAGATATTCAATTCATTACGTGTAATGATGTATACAACACCATTATGTAGCAAATGGTCAGCAAAATCCTTGGTTTATAGAAAATATGTAATTGTCTATATACAAGTGAAGTTTATTGTGATTATGTTTGTTCATATTTGCTTTCATCAAATGGGTCTAGGATATAGAGATATACATCAAATCGTCAGCAATTCTAAGGCGCTGATTAGGCACATCAACCTGTCCCATTGGCGGCTCGTCACTGTTAATCTGAAGTATGTGACATGCCATGTTAGCGTGTTTTGTGACAGTTAAGCTCTCCTGCCAATCTGACATGCAAAGCACGTGTCACCTGTACGACGATGGTCAATTACGATCCCCCGTGGTCAATGGTTATATCACTGTAGGGTAGTAAATCGGCCATAATCAGCGTAAAATTGATCGGTCATGTATCTATATTAATAAGGATTTGTCAATAAAACCAGGTACCGTGAAGTCAATGTATCTCTAGTGATAGCGTTATGTGGAGTAATTGATCAAATTGTACCTATTACACAGTACATATTACACAGCACCTATTACACAGTACATATTACACAGCACCTATTACACAGTACATATTACACAGTACCTATGAAGTGGACAGGCCTAACAAGCAAAACACTGTAAAGGATGAATTACATGCAATGTATACTCACGTTAGCAAAACTGTTGAAAATATCCACGAAAACGTGAAAATCGGCAAAATCCACAACACTTTTCCAAGTAACTGATAAAGCGTCAAGCACATTTTGGTGGTATATTTATCCTTTAAGTAACTGGCTGTGACGTCCACGGTTGACGTGAATCATAGAAGTGTTCCTTTCACCAGAAACGGAGACGAATCTGCAACGACAAGAAACACAAACTCTTAGAATACACACGACGGTGAGTGTCCTGCAGTCCCTCAATAAGCTTCAAGTCCACGCGGCGTTCTGTGAACGGCCTCTTAGATCGATCGGCGGTCCGCAGTATGTCGCCTGCCCGTCACACCGTCCAACTATTAGATGTTATAGCAAGTTTAATTAAAACCCCGTACACGATTAGCAGCAGAAAACACATAAATTCTCGGTTGTAAACTGTTTAAAAGACATCTGAGATGGGAACTGTATGATGATACAGTCGTGAAATGTTCCCTAGCGAGGATAGCATGTTGTGTACGGTGCTGTAATTTTCTAAGGCGTACGTAATCATCCAGCCGTTGTAATATCCAAGAGAAAGCTATCTACGAGAGAGAAATCTGTAAAAGACTGTTGCTCGGTAGGTAATGATGATGCATCTAAAATCGTACTCAAGATAACACATTCGTTATTCCGTATTCCATAGTGTAAAGGCAACACGCATACGAAAATCGGCCGCTACAATGCAAACCCAATCCCAACAGTGGGCCCCTAATCCGCAATTATTAACTCTCTATGAAAACTCATTGTTCTGTTTAACGTTGTTTGTGAAGTATATTTCTTGTTTTGTTCATAATTGTCTTGTTACAGAATGGTGTCTATTGAACGATATGTAGCTATAGACTGATGGTGTCTAACCAGGAGTGCGTCACTGACTATTATGTCCTCAATATTTCCAATGTGTGATTCGAATACGTACAGTAAAACCTGTTCAAACCGTCACTAATCCTCCCGTTCGGAATAGACAGGTGTATTTGCTATGTTTAAGCTGTGTGTTTTGAAGCACACTCGTTGTTGGATTAGGCAGAGCACTGACCAGACATTCTACCCTGCATAGTCACAGATATCTCCGAACATGTGTGTGGCATGTTTCGATCTAACCAGTAATACTGGATTTGTTTTCTATCTCTCAAGAGCACAACATGTTAACATGTGTACATTTCAAATGTATTAGGATTTCAGATGGAAAGCCTGTCATCACAGGATCTTTAAATACAAAAGGGAAAGCGAGAAGGAACTGCAACCGACCACTTTTCCTTTATTGTTCAGATTAATGACGATGTCATGCATTTTAAATGTATTTTGTATAACTTAACCTTTATTCTAAGCACATTTCTTGGTAGCTTAAAACTGTCTATTCATCAACTTGTTAAAACTATCTACTAATGTGTAACAATCAAGGCCCATTGTGATTACGTTAATATTATATTTGTGAAATACACTTTTGTTTGCTCAAAGCAAACTATTTTCGCCGAGTTAATCTTGAATTGTGCATTTAAAAACAAAATAAATCAACACGTTAAATTGTACTTTATTGTTAATTACCATTACATCTTTCGACTCACAGGGTAATCCTCATATACACAAATATAACAATAACATCGGATATTGATATATTTGTAAATAATAATATTGATATGACATCATCTTGTACAAGAAATATGATGATTTACTTGATTCACAGTATGTATGAGGAAGCATTATCCTGCACAGGAAAATAAAGATGTATAAAGAACATGCGTCATTGTGAACAATAGATTTCGCAAAGACGTACATGTACATGTGTATATTCAATTATTGGCTTCGTTAAGTGAAAGATGGGTACATATGTAAGTGTTAACCCGAAAAAGGTGATCAGAGTAAATCTATTTTTCAAATTTACTGGTTTGTTTATTTTTAATATGACATTTCTGTATTCACACAATAGTGGGCTTCAGTAATAACCACTGACGACCTGCAGCAGTATCCAATCGGTACTACAGTACATGTATCGGGAACCGAGTTGGATTGTTGAATTTCTATCAAATACATAATGCACAGACTCCTTGAAATTTGTTTATGCATTATAAATATATAATAAGTATTAAATAAACATATGTATATAAGAACTGGACAAAACTGATTTTACTTCTATACATTTTAAATTATTAAGACTTACAATGCTTTATACCAGTAAAGTTAAATGTAAATTTAAAAGGGAAGTTCAAAAACATGTCTACTATTTACAGTATATACAGTGGATTCTAGTAATCTGGAAGGAAGCCTGTCAGACACACTCGTTCAGGTACAGAATAAAAGTAACAGTTACATATACTGTATACCCATTTGCGCGTTTTGATGAACTATAGAGAGGTTTTGGTGAATATCTTTACAATCACCCAGACAACCAACTGCGACATTTGTCATCTTACGTGTTCCTGTTCTATCTAATATTTCTATTTTTGTATCTTTACCCTTCTCTAAACCTCCCTAGTCACCCACTCCCCATTTGGTTACATTGGAGAGCTTTCATCCATGTGAGGAGGACAATGAGTTCTGTTCTCATACCGGGACATACAAAGTAGGTTAGTTAACGTTGTTATTCCCCGATAACGTTTCAGCATTTTGGATAAGTGCAACAACTGGTTAACTCGTTGTTAGGTTAATGTGACAGGTAAAAGTACTGTGCTGGGTGCCTTCGGCATGGTATTTCAGTGAGACAGCACTCTAAGTACGGCATCAGATCCGCGGTATTGTAAAACATATAAACGAACATACCGCCTGCTGGACATATGCATACATAACACACATGGATGGAAGTCCTTAAATAACCACAGCTGTCAATAGGACACTAAACTAAACCAAAGCTTTTTCTTACAGTATCGATTTCTCAGAAACCAACGTGTGTTGTGTTTACACTGTTACATTGAACATATAGTATGTTACATCCTTTGTGCATCAATTCTCCGTTAAACAGCAGTTACAACAGGAATGACTATCGCAATCTCGTCATCACCGTCATAGTATTATATAACAGAGGTTTGGGGATAAGTATCTGTATATGTATGATCGATTTCTGGCTCGGAAGTCAAAAATAACTGGTAGCTAGCCATTCTGAAGTGTATATGTCATAATTACCATAACACGCTAACGGCCCAAGCTCTATCTGCTGCTGGTAAATAGGAAGTCATATTGTCCTTCGGGATTTAATGCGAATATGTATAAGTGAAGCACTTCATGTCTCACTTTTTACCGCGAAGCCGCATTACATTCACAGTTAGTTAGGTTTTTATGATACAGAATTCTGTGACTCAATTCTCTCTGCAGATTTGGTTCAATAGGCTGTATCTTACTAAATGTACTATATATTGGAGGCGACTAATGTGGGGGAAACCCGGCCGTATCGGGTGCTTTCTTCTATTTCTGCTGTTCAGTTGACAGAAGAGAAACAGAAATAATGTGCTAACCAAACCCAACATCTTAAATATATGCTTTTTTTCTCTCTTGCTGCTTTCGAAAAAAAATAGCACACAGCTTTATGTTTGCGATAAGCCAGATGTATACATGTGTATTATTTCCCGGGATTGGAATCGTTGTTGCCACTAACTGTTCAAACACTGAACTACATCCATTAACAGTTCGAGTCAGCTAATCACGGTTATCGTTGGGCCACTAAATGAAAGCTTTTTATGTGACATCTGATTGAAGTGTCATAAGCTGGGCTTGAAAGCATTACACTCCAGCCAGTCACATGGTGTCGACAACGGACTGACCGAATGTGAAAAGAAACCTCACCAAAAAGGGTAGATAAGCAGAAACATCAGAGAAAGGGTGAGGAATGATGGAGTTATGTTTGACATCCTCAAAATAAAACAAGAGTAACGCGATTCTACTTGGGACCCCTCACCAGTCGCTACACAAATACAAGTGTTCTATCATCTATATACTACTTTATACCCCGTACCGGTATAATGATAAATTCATTATCATGGGTTGTCAGTATGATGACACCAAAACAAAGTTGAAAAAGACTTTTTTTCTTAAAAAAGAAAGTCTGCTCGTGCGAGATGACGTCCTAAACCGGAAATAATATCCACACAAAAAAGTCAACGAAGTAAGAAAATATGCATATGCAGTAGCCTATGACAATAAGATTGTTTAGAAAAAATGTAAACAGTTTTAAGGTTCATGATATTCCTCCTACGTTTGCTACAGACCGAGGATTTGCGATCGATGACCATTGAGCCTAGAAGTCATTTGGAAATATGGTGTTGGAGAAATAAAGAGATTATAATACAGTATTTGTCGTTCATCGTTCGCACTTGGATAAAATTTCGAGTCCATCTGTGGTATCCTCTTGATTTTATCCACTTGCTAGCGACGAGAAAATTGTTCTCACGACAAACCCTGAAAACACAGTGTGGTAATCTATACACTTTGTAAGTATCAACCTTAATAAACATCTGTTTTGTTTCGTTAACCATTTATCCACTGGCTAGCGACGAGAAAATTGTTCTCACGACAAACCCTGAAAACACAGTGTGGTAATCTATACACTTTGTAAATATCAACCTTAATATACATCTGTTTTGTTTCGTTAACCATTTTCTTTCAAAAGAAATCAGCTTTACACAATTTTATAATTGGACAATTAACAAAACACAAAAAATGCACGAGCATTACGCATTAAACTCACTGACAAGATGCGGAAGGCCTGCGTTCAGCCTGTTCACACTTCCTATATATATCATTGCGCTTGCGTGCCGATACATCTTCGTTGTTACACGGAACGCCCCGTAGGTTATGGCTGCCCATGTACGATCATGTACGATAGTGAACGTTTACATGAAACATCCTGCACACCAGACATCCAATATACGATGGTGCTAGCGAATACATGTAGGCACTTATAGCGGTCGCACACGGACCCAATGCCGATACATTTGTAGTTTTTGTCACGTTAAATACTAGAGCACGCATTTTTCATCCATCTGTTAAGGATGTAACGGCTTTTTTCATCCAATGGCTAATACATGAGCAGCATATTGTAGGAAATGCATACTGGTCTACATTTATCATATCTATAAACTATATCACGTTGCAGATATAATATTTTCAATTAAAAATACAAAAACGGACATCCCGACACTGCTGCATTATGGCCTTACAAGGTCACCCATTTTTTAA